AAGACTCGGTACCATAATGCAGAGTGCCGCAAACGGTTCCAGAAACTAGTTGATGAAGAAAAGGAGCTGGAAGCCAAGTCAAAGCCCATATCAGAGTCGGTAGTTGTTGAACCTCCGAGCGAAGTTCCTAGTGCGCTTGAGGATGCCCCCGTGGAACCACCACTGGAGGACAGTGTATTTGATGATGAAGGTGAAATCACAATTGCTGTTCCTTATAGCGTCTCTGGTGCTGCCACTTTGCCCCAGACTGCTCCCAGCTGCGCTGAGTTATGTAGGGATTCCTTGCCAGTGTTCGGTGCACAGCCCGTGCCTGCATGCCCTGCAGTTAATCAGCCTCCTAAGAATAACAATAACCGTCGTAAACGACGTGCCTTGAAGAAAAGCCAGAGGTCCAATGAGAAGTCAACACTGTTTGAGTTTGCATGTTCCCTCAACTCACAGCTTGGGTTGACAAGTGAACAATGTAACGTAAATCACATTGGGTTATGCAGGGGAAGGATAGACTTGAGTGATGAGAATCAATGTTCCCAACTTGATTATCAAATAGGTGAAGCCGCAAAAGTTGCACCACCTAACCTTTGGTCGTCCATACCATGCACGTCTGGTTCTCCTTGGCAGTATATCAATAGACGGAAGGGAGGAGCTGCTTATATGAAAAGATTAGCGCTCCAACTCCGAGAATCGAAACGACTTTTCAAAAGCTTTACCAAAAGGGCGGAATTAGTTTTGAAACTAGGAGGCACTGTTTCTTTTGAATGGCCACGTCCCTCAACTGGCTGGAAGAGACCAGATGTCGTAGCTTTCTTTAATTCTCACCCTGAGTTTATGGAAGTTGATTTCGATGGTTGTGCAGTAGGTCTTAAGTCCAAGAAAGGTGTTCCCATCAAAAAGCCTTGGAGAGTCCGAACCACTTCCCAAAGAATAGTAGATGTTTTTAAAAACAAAAAGTGCAGTTGTGAACAGCCACATGAAAAGTGTGAAGGTTCGGAAACGGCGCGATCAGCTATGTATCCCCCAGAGATGGCATTTTTGATTACCCAAGCGCTGTACCCTGCTAAGTGTTCTCAACAACATGCTCCCGCAATGCCATGCGCTCCACTTCCAACCGAACCCCAAGAGCACCGCGAAGTTGAACAACATCTTAAACATGTGTCCCCACTAGCTGGTTTTGAGGATCTTGCAGTTGCCATTGAGACAGATCCAACAGTGAACTGCTTAGTGTCGGAGCTTCTAGACCATGAGCGTTTGTTGTCACAAGCCTTCGGGCATGAAGATAACAACGAACCTTCCAAAGAGGTTCAAGCTATGGTAACTAAGTTGCTTTCTAGGGCCGAGATCTTATCCAACCCCCAAGCCCTTGATGCTGTTAAGGCCGAGGCCGATGGACTGATCAAGGCAGGAACGTGGTCACTTGATTCCGTTCGGGAAAAGGAAGATGTACGCGCCGAGGCCAAGCGCACAGGAGTGTCCGTTCATTTCGGGCAACTCATGACCATAGCGTCCATTAAATTCTTCGAGCTTGCGCAGCACCTGCAAAAGATGAAGGGCAGGATCGTCTATAGGGGCGACTGCGCAAAGGACGAACATGGCGCTGCAGCGGTCTACCAGGAGCTAGGGGCAAACCCGACTTCGGTCCAAGGTTTGAATGCTTGTTTGGCATACGGTTCCCTGCCAGGTAATAGCTCATCCGCAGCCGATGCTGTAAAGGCTTACGTTCAAGCACTCCTGTCTTCGAAGTACAAGACCTGGATAGAACTCCCGCCTGAGCTAAGACCAAAACATTGGCGAGATAAGTTTGTTAAACCTGTAGTCCTCCTAGTTAAAGCCTTATATGGTCATCCTGATGCCGGTGGCCTTTGGGAGCAGCACTTAAAGAAAATTATCCGCAACCTAGGTGGCCAAGAGGTACCTGAATACCCTGGTAACTTCTTTTTCCCAGATACTAAGTTGTTGCTTTCCACCTATGTAGATGATCTCACGCTTGCTGGTCCCACTGACCAACATGATGCCTTCTGGGCAAAGCTGACATCTGTTGTGGATATTGAACCACCTGAACCAATATATCGAATTTTAGGTCGCAATCATCTAGTAATGCCATTGCCCAAAACCGAGGGTTCCGAGGAATGTGCTGCGTTTCGCGCACAAGAAGCCTTAGTCTTTGACATGTTAGATTATGCACACCAAACAGTTGATCTTTATAAGTCCATCACCAACACCAAAAGTTTGAAGCATGCTGCCACTCCTTTTGTACCTGATGGTTCTGTCTCTGTTGAAGATGAAGAGGCTAAAGGTGAACTGGCACCCAATGCATGCCGCATTCTTATGAAGGCGTTGTGGCTTGGTCGGCTGTCCAGACCTGACATAATAAAACCCATCAACGATTTAGCCACTAAAGTGCAGTCTTGGTCCAGGGGGGACGATAAGAGGTTGTTAAGACTCATCCAATACATAGACTCTACACCCCAATACCGTCTAGTGGGTACCATCAAAGATAATCCCGAAGATCTTGAGTTACGTTTATACGTTGACGCAGATTTCGCCGGTGATCGTCTTAGTGGAAAATCCACATCCGGGGGGTATTTAGTTCTACATGGACCTAACTCCTTCTTCCCTCTTGCGTGGGTTAGCAAACGCCAAACATCCACATCCCGTTCTACAACAGAGTCTGAGGTGGTTTCATTGGCTTATTCCCTTTACCAAGAAGGCCTGCCGGCCCTGCAACTCTGGGAGCTTCTCCTAGGGCGCACCGTGACACTTAGAGTCTTAGAAGATAACCAAGCTACCATCCTGGTAGTACGTAAAGGTTATTCCCCTAAGCTTAGGCACATCACTCGCACCCATAAGGTTAATTTGTCCGGGCTGTCCGAAGTCTGCCGTGATGACTCAGCCGAGCTTGAGTACTGTCAGACCGACAGTCAGGCTACGGACATCTTCACCAAGGCGTTGCCACCCCAAAAGTGGGCCCCGCGCTTGCTTGGCATCCGCGTAGATTTAGGTAGTGAACTTAGATCCAGGGGAGGGGCAGCTACCTAGCGCCCTAACCTGTATACTAGTTGCCAGCGTTAGATCGGGTAGGGGGGAGTAGAAATATTACGACCCCTATACCACCACTGTATATACTAGTGTTAGTTCACTCCTTACTGTAGCTATGTTACCAACACTCTAATAGATTGTACAGTCATCTCAATCGTAACGCAACCTTCAACTAGATGCGTTAGTTGTAGGTGTAGCCATGTAAATAGGATAGGAATTGACCCCCTCCTTTTAATCCAGCAGGGTTGGTCATAGTATCCTATCATAACTTACTTGGCTCAAGCGCCCCATAGCAAAAAGGGGCGTTTGCACGATCCATGGGACAAGGGAGATTAATAGGCTTGTTCTTGTTTTTCCCCCTGTTTCTCTTTTAATCATCAAACATGATCTCTTGTGATGTCTTCATGGGTTTCTAACCCTGAAATACCATATATATATATACATATGCATATATGCATATTATTTGGGGATATCATTGATAAATGATGGTTGAATGGTCTTGGATTTGCTAAACATGGTTTGTTTGATGTTCCCATTGGAACATCCACAAAATGACTGGGGAATTCCTTTGGGCAGATGTTTTATGTTGCTCCCCAGCAAATCCATGTGGTGGTTCTTCTTTTTTGGGGGGACTTTACCCAAGACAAAGGGATTGAATCAATACTTGGTTTATATATCTGTATATGAACCAAACATGGCCGACATAGGGCACACCAATGAATACCAATGATGGATTTCAACACCAAAGGTCTCATGCCAGGTCTATCCAGAGCTTGAGGTTGGGGTCAAAATGTGTTTTTTGTCCAGAAACGGAGGATATACCCAAAATATCCCAAACTATCCAAAGCAAAATGGTTGATAGGGAAATTATAACAGACCAAGGTTGAACGACTTATGTAGGACTAAGGGTGTTCAATTTCACTATCAATCTGACAGCATGCCCCAAAGGCTTTGAAGCATCCTTTGAGGACATTGAAAGGATTTGTGGCTGAAATTCACACAGATTCACCTGCTTTAAAAATGTGTGCATCAGTATGCGAATCATCTATGGTAAATCAACCGTGTTTTTAAGCGCAACTTGCAGGTGAAACCATGGCAGTTGAAAATCCTCAAAATCTCATCCGCTTGGGATCACCATTAATAGGTTAAATATCACTGGTTGATGGTTTCAAACATGTGTTATTTTCCATTTCATATATGCTAATATAATATATGGGATATATGTCATCCTTCCCAACTGACTTTAACTCCATGATTTTTCAGAGGGGTAGGTTGAAACCACCAACCAGTCTAGAAAAAAGGGTGAGTTTCCATTGCCATGTTTGATTGCCAGAGACTATTTCATCCCCAAATCAGAATGGACCCCTTCCGTGTTTCCGTAACCTGCATTGTTCTGTCGAGAGGCCTGAGTACCATACGTGGCACTCGCACAGCAAAAAGTTTCACAAGGAGACAACTCGAGAATTGGGCTACCATTCGGTAATCAAACATGGTTGGCCCGGAAATCCTCTACAAATGGAACATTTATATATAATGGGAAAATCATCTACTGTATAAATGTGGGATGTTCAATCAATACTACTCAACCATACTTAACCAACAATTAATTCTAATGGGGACTATTGTTGATTATTAAAAGATGCCTAAAACCACTATTTCTTGGATGATTCCAAGCGCAGTTTTTGAGAAGACCGAGCACTGTGCCATAAGCGAATCTCCGAGGCAACATTGATTTCTAGTCTCGGCGTTAACCCAAAGAAATATCAACCACCCATTGTTTTTGTAACTATGCTTGGATGCGCATCCCACTTTCAAAGTGGATAAAGCTTGCAAGTTATCCCGTTATCCCATTTACACACGGATGAAGCATAAATGACTTGTAACCACATTGCAACGGGGATGCTCGGCAGGTAGAACTTGAATATATTTTCACCACATAGCAAGTGGGTTCACATCCAAATCGTCAGGAACTCTCCGAATCCGTGGCAACGGTGCATCATTTGATGCACAGTGGCTTCCGGACGGCAGCGGGAGCGGCTTCCGTCGGCTGGCACGCGGTGGATCTTTGCTGTGGCAAGTCGGGGTCCCTGGCGTAAAAAACCTCAGCAACACTGGGGGGGACTGGAGGACTGCATGAAAAGTTTCGGGGGTGTGAATTCAACATTGTTTGCAATTTTCCGGTTTATATTTGTAGGGCCAAAAAGTGAAGAGATTGATGTAATACCGGAAAAGTTCACTTTGATTTCTCAGCCAAGATGTCAAGCTTTTGGTGAGTTCAATTGTGTTTCTTTCTGGTGTGATCACTTTACAGATGTGGATAGTTTAAGATTCTAGAATGATTTACCAAACTGCAACAAACACTGCAAAACATGTTCAGGTTTAATCCACACTCAAGGATGCGACCAAAATGAGCACTGCTTTTGATGGTTAAATCAGTTCAATCCCCATAAATCAGAATCTGTTACACCTGTTTTATCCCAAGGAGTTGATGATAAAACAGCCATGATTTGATGGTTGAACCATGTTGAAGCCCTACTTTTTCGATGGCCCGGGAGGTCTTTGACCTCTGCCCTTCTATCCTTGGATTCGGATGGTCCAAAAAGCATCACAGCCGTGGACTGGCGGGATCCCAGCGGGAGAGGCCCTCAGATGGAAGAGCGCCCATGCGCATTGCGTCAACATGGTGGAACCCAAAATATGGTTTGTAATAATATATATATATATATTAATACTACATATATACATAATATATATTATATATATATTATGTATATATGTAGTATTAATATATATATATATATATTGATAGTTGTTGATGTTTTCTTAGATGGGAACATGTTTTGTTTTTTGTTTGTGGGGAAGATGATGATACACCATCGAATCGTGGGGTTTCAAAAATGCTGCGACAGCCTCATTTGGGTGATGTGTAAATGGCACCTTTCACTACGCCCGAGATGAGGATAGGTCAACGTGCGAGAATACCAAAGCAATGTGTTTACAGTACGTAGGTAAACACTTGTTTGGTAGATACACCGGCCATTTGTCGCCACTAAAGGAGGAATATAATATGACGTCGTACATCGTAGTACAGAATCCTTCAGAATACTAAGTAGTACAGAATCTGTTCTTTTCTGTGTAGATTTTATAGGATATCCAAGTTTGCCATGAGATGAGATGTGGCAGGAGATTTTAAGTTGGGGATATGATGCATCTCTGCCATTAGTGGAGGCATAGGGTGGGGGGGGCAGGGCGGTCAGTAAATGCAACCCTCCGGGGATCGATCCAGGATGACCTTCCAATTCTTCTTCCACCGGGTACTGGTGGAGTGTATGGATCGCCCTGATGAAATCCACCATTGAACTGAACAAATTGTACCCTCTGGTAATTTAACATAGCTATGGAAAATCACCATGCTATTAATGGCTAAATCCACTATTTCTATGGGCCATTTTCAATAGCTATGTTAAATTACCAGAGGGTAACCCCATTTTATACATTTTGAGGATGTCTATTGAATCATTCAACTTCTGCAGGTACCACCTTTTTGACCCCGAAGAGTTCATCAACGCAGTATCCCTGGTGCCTCTCCGCGGTACTGGAGGCTTCCCCATCACGAGGAAGCCTTGGCACGTGATCGCGCGCATGCAGAGGCTGACAGGATTGGCTCCAGATCATGTGGGCTTCTCTGAAAATAGGGGATACCATGGGAGACCTAGAAATGGTGATGTTAATGTATTTTCATGGGGAAAATGATGATCATCCAATATAATTAATCCATTGGAATATATATGTGGTAGCCTCTTTTCAGACAAACCCATCTTGTGAGATAAGGAGGATCATCCCCAAAATGGACCGTTTGCCCCCGAAGAAAAATGATATGTAGCTCAATGTTGAGCCACTTTTTTCTATACCTTAAAACTATCTCCTTTTTTGTGGAGGGATTGGAGGGATTTTTTTTTTGAGATGGGTGACATGTGAAATCACTCAAGAACTAAAACTACAGTACTAACTACAGATGTATCGATGTTGGATGCTGATTGATTGATCATTTTCAGGAGCTCTGGATTATTGGATTTGGGGATCAGTGTACTAGCAGATTGAATTATCATCATGTTTTCCTATTAAAATAGTCATGTCCTGGGGGTGTGTATCCCAATTTCAGACTGACCCTATGGAGGAACCAATATATGCACCTGGCGGTGCCCAGATCTCAAAATTTTGAGGCCTGGTGTCATTCTGGATTTTCCCAGCTTTCCCACAAATCCAATTGATCATAGCGCTTACACTGTCTCACACGTTTATTTGATCATATTTGATCATGGAATTACTAGGTGGCACCATGCAGGTAAAGGTTAGTTTATAAACCACTTACAAAACCAACTTACCCTCTGGTAATTTAACATAGCTATTGAAAATGGCCATTTATAGTGGATTTTCCCATTAATAATGGCCATTTTCAATAGCTATGTTAAATTACCAGAGGGTAGGCATCTATTGGACGCCTTCTTGTCTTTTGTTGGGCCTGGTTTATGGGCCCCCCTTCAAACCCCTTCCAACTTGCAGCCTGCTGCGCCATTTGCAGCTGTTGCGGCCCAAGCAAAAGAGTCCCCGTGGGGACACCGTGGAGACACCGCGGTGGAAGTTCGGTCGATTTCGCGATGTCTGACCAAAAAGATAAGGCCAAAATCCTGGGGTCAGATATGATATGACCCCAGGAAGACAGGTGTGAACCTGTTTTAACACAAAACATGGGGCTGTGACATTTGATGTTTGTTGAGCCCATTGTTTTTGGAGTGACAATCAGTGATTAATCTTGGGTTCTAAAATCTACCAACCGGCATCTAGATGACGCCATTTGGAGTGTTTGTGCAGTCTGTATGTCCTTGAATGCCCAAGTCTGCGCATGGGTTTCACCGACATCAGAGTTATACAATGTTAAACAGTTCGATATGTGGGCCAGAATTTGAAGAACCTTGAGCCCACCACGACTTTTCATATGATTCAACCCTTGTGATTGTTGTTCTCCAATCATATATTTTATGGTGGGTGGTTTCAAGATGTTTCATCAGTTTTAATCACAACCGTTTGCGAATCAGTCACGTCGACGTGGCACATGTTCTCAGCAGGGCGCAGAGTACAAAGTCTTCCTGGAGAGCTGTTTGGGAGGCCTGGAGAGCCTGGATGGTTCTTGCCACTGGAGATCCTGAGATCCGCAATTTTTCATGATGATTTTTCTCGCAAAAGAAGGATTTGAAGCATATGATGTTGGGAATTAAGAATAGTACCCAACCTGGTTATGACATGTTATGACTAACATAGCCATGGTTTTTCGATGGACCATAGAAATAGATGGTTTACCTGTTAAAAATGGTGATGATCCATGGCTATGTTAAATAACCAGATGGTATAATAATGGACTTGAGATGATTTGAGGATGTCTGCAAATGCGGTCAAGCTTGGTGTAATCCGAGGGTTAATGTTGGTTGGTTAAGATTATGACAACTGATTTGCACTCGGGGTGTGCAACCCATTTTGAGATAGGCCCATGTCTCGAGCATTTAGTGTTCTTAAACTCTTGAACAACTTAGAGTGACAAAATGATCAACATCGACATGATTTGCTTCTAGCAAAGTATATCCGAAGCTAGATCCCCATGTTGTGGTTTTTGTTGTTGGTGCTATCATTTTGAGTTGGTCAACAACAAATTGGATGCGGTTTATTTCTCATATATTATTTTTTTTCCGTACTCATACAATGCCTCTATATATCTTTTCCGTTTGATGGTCTGGGCCCGAGCAGACCCATGGTAAAGAAATCTGATCTACTACCTACTGTGGATGGTTGCGAAATCCTGCGCCAGTTGGTAGATAGCTTATTCCATTATAATCGCAGTGTTTACATTTATGTTTCGTAATTACCAAATAGTTTCCAACTGGTGCAGGGTTTCGCAAGCATCCACTCTACTTTTACGGTTACACGGTGGATGCCGTGAAGCTGCCAGGTTCAGTGGACGACACGGATGGCCATGACAAGCGACTTTTGGGTCCCATTGGTGAAATACTCGAAGAGAAAGAAGACAAGGACCTTCCGGGTCCACTATTGGGATGATTCTTTAGCGGTGAAGATGGCTGGGACCATCGGCTGAACGGTTGCAAGTTATATCAAATATAAACCATTATCATGTCTCAAAATAGGATAGTCTAGTGGCTTCGTAGTGAGTTAGAATGGTGGTATGACATATGACATAGTACTGGGAGGTGCAAAAAAACGTGTCGTAGGTTTCCTAAGTCATGTACCCCATGGTCACCTTTGAGGGCTTCGTCCATGTTTTTTCAAAGCCCAGGGTATTCCGATGGATGTTGGTTTACCATGAGCTGTTGTTTAAAACCAGTGAAGATCCATCATGTTGTTGGTTGAAATCTCCCAAACGTAGATGTCTACATCTGTTTACATCAACTTCATTTTGTGGGATCTTCTCCTTAGCCAAGCCCGAAAAAACTCAAGCCCTTGGCGAGGACTCTGATAGCAAGGATGACACCCAGAAGAACACGACAGTGTGCTTTAACTTGAACGACTCCGAAAATGAAACATGGCTATGCTGATGACGCTGATGCGGCTGGTTATGGCTGGTTGGGACGGGTGAGTTGATTGTTGATATTGTTGGACTTTGGGCGGCATGGCCATCATTTTCCACTGAAACCCCCAAAGTGTTGTTATATATATACAGTATAAGATTATATAAGTATCTGTGTGTGTGTTTGCATTTCGAACATCAACATGTTCTATTTCTTCACCGTGGACGGGATTTGCTCACGGGAAACTGGGCGATGTGTATTCACCCGTGAGTCAAATTGAAATGAAAAATAGATCCAAAAAATGACGGCATGTGTTCCATTCGATCCCATTTGTACGACCCCGCTGATGAACTTCAAAATAGCTGGTAAATAGGGATCTTCATCCTCGCAAAATATGCTATATATATATATAGGCTATACTTGATTGTTGTTTTTGAATGTTTTTGATGTATTAATCCATCCCCAACTATGTTGTTGGTTCATATTTCTATAGTCAAAAAGAACATATCCAGCCAAGGAAAAATATGACCTTCTTAAGTCTTTCTGGATAAAAGTCCTCAGATCGTCACCATTTTTCTTCCTTGGTGCCCCTATAGGAATCCTCCGGCTTTGGAGACGATGACGACGACGAATGGGATCTTGAGGTGTGCCTCTGTGAAGTATGGAATATCACTGTCACCATTGTTGATAGGCAAATCATTTAAGTAAACGGGCCATATTCCTCTATCTATCTATCTATCTATTTATCTATCTATCTATCTATCTGTCTATCTATCGATCGATCTATCTATCTATCTAGCTATCGATCGATCGATCGATCTATCGATCTATCTATCTATCTATCTAGGTTAAAATACCGCAGGGTAAATGCCATGTTGTGGTAGAATGTTGTGAAATTTGGGCTTCAAAATCCATATGAATGGAACTTGAACCATTTGCCTTGTGTTTGGGAGAAGTGCCGAGCCCATTTGCACAGCATTGATTCTGCACAAAGAGATAAAAACAATGTCAGGCATGCTCCCTCTTCAACACTCTTCGTCAATTACCGTCAATTACTGTAGTTTGCTTGGTAACAATCGATGAACATGATTGAACATTGAAATTTGTTATTTGCCGCATCAAGGTTTTTCTTTGAGGCTACAGTAAAAGGAAACTGATCCCACCTGAACGATTGCATTGCCTGCCCGACCTGGTTTACTTGGATGTCGGTTCAACATGTTTTTGTTTCCTTGGCAAACATTAGCCGGAAGTTGGTTCTTTCATCTACGGTCCCACTTTTGCTGCTTAACACAGCATTGTGTACCTCTTGGAATCCGGAAATCCGATTAACTTCAAACTCGGAGATCTTCTGTTGCCAGGCGTCTTTTCTGTCAAGCCTCAACAACCCTGATGTTCTTTCTAAATCCCAATTGTTCATGGTGAAGTCTCCATTCTTCATGGTTAAATCCACCATTTTTCGGTCAAACCACGGCCGCAAATAACCCAGGTCCGCTCCCGCCGTTCCGGGGAACGCAGGACGCCTACAACTTCGACGCCGAGAAGATTGCTGAGCTGCTTCAGAAGGGCGGAGAGATCAATGAGGAAGAGCTGGTGGTAGCCTGGTTCAACCAATCAGATATCAGGTAGGAATTAATTGATTAATTGTTCCAGAATCTGGAATCTGGAACAATTAATCAATTAATCCTTTCCCCCTGATAATTATTCAACACCCCCCAGAAACATCCAGAAACCATGGTGGATGTAGGGGATGTAGGGGATGTACGGGTTTTTTTCACGGGTTTTAACGGGTTTTAACTACATATTAGGACCATAAAATGGGGATGTTTAATATTAGGGGGATGGGATTAAGAATTCATTGAACGTTGTAGGATTTGACTTTGACCATCAACAGTTCGGATTTTTTGCAGGAGAAATAGTGTTTTAACCATATTTAGCCAACAAAAAGTAGTCCAGTTATATAGATATTAATTAACATTTTGATTTTTGATAGCAGATGTATATGATATTAATGGGACAAAATGGGGATGCTGCAACCAGCAAAGATGTTGATTCAGTGAAGGAAATGATGGTATAAAGGGGATATCCTGGGATTGAAAATAAAATCGGATAGGATATTGATGAAATTGATCAGACAGAAATCTATGCCTGATGGAAAAATGCTGGTGAAAAACCATGTTTTTGTGCGATCAAAATGTGGGGATTCACCCATCAGTTCTCCAATGAAGCTAAAAGCGTCCAAACTTGAGCCTGTTTCATGGGCAAATCACTCATTTGGATTGATTTGGGCCATCCCTATGTTAGGAAACAAACTTTTTTTTCTAGCCGCTGCTTCATCATGACCCCCTTTTACGGAAATTTGCCATTTCACCGAGGAAAGCATGCAGGAGAGCATGGCGGAAGCCATGTTCTTGCGCATGAACCTGGAAGATCCAGATCTCGAAGCCGAACGCCCGGGGGCCCAGAGGATTCATGGTGATGAAATGGATCTGGCAAACTCAACATATTATTTAGACATATCTGGTTATATAATGATTATATATATTATATAATGGTTATATAATGGTTATAACTAGATACACTTTCAGTTCAATTTTGGTTTCTTCAATTTCAATAGTTTAGTACACTTCAATCTATGTTGCTTCGTTTATATAGGGGTTGTATCATGTTATACCATGTTATACCCCAACTTAGCACAACTACCATGGTGTACCCAGAACTTGCCACGTCGCGTTCCAAGGCCCTGATTGCAGCGGCACACTGGACGGCCGCATGACGCCTCCGGCGAAAGACGCCAAGGAACTGCGGCCCACTGCATCAGCTGTCAGGAGGAATTGGTTTGCGAGACACCATGACCATGATGGTCATGGGTTCAAAACCAATGATGTCTACCTACTGTATATAGTATCCTATAGTCCTATAGGTTCCTATACTATCATTAGAGTACTGTAGCCTATAGTATCCTTTTTGTATTAATATCCTATGGTACTGATTGATACTAGGTCTACCCGCGCAAATGACCAACGCGGATCGAACTGGGATTTGACTCCAAGACAGACGAGGACATGTAACCACCATCATCAAAAGCAGGGATACTCGAGATGAATTCGGAAGTTAACATAACTATGGAAAATTGCACATTTATTTATAGAAGACTTACCTATTGAAAAAAGGATGATGTTCCATAGCAAACAGTTGAATTACCAGAGGGTAGCGTTTTTTTTTCCTCTCTCTCTCTCTTTCTCTCTTTCTCTCTTTCTCTCTTTCTCTCTTCTTTGCACTTCATTGCTACCCAGGATTTCGATGCTGCCACGCCACCAGACCCAAAGGTCTTGGCAGAGAAGTTGGAGATGAAGGACGGAATGGGGTTAAAACAATGCCATAAAGCAACCATTTGGGAATAGTAAACATACCACCTATAAACATGGTAATTTGGGGGATGGTTTATTATTGTATTATATAACCACATTATCTCCTTATTTGTTGTTGTTAATCAAAATAGAGGTGATTGACTTTTCCATCATCACGGACGTCCCATGTTTTGAACCTCTAGGAGTTGATGCCAATGCCGAGGTTTGCGGAAACGGAAAGCCGCAACATGATATACCTGTTTTAGGTAACCTGGCAAGGGGAAATCCCTCATAAACCAACATTTCTGGAGTTTTGCTTTCAAAGTTGGACATGTGTTACAAACCATGGGATTCCGCAAACAAGAACAACAGGTCAATCCCTACTGAATCGGTCATATTTGACATGCCGCACTTGGCAAGTCTTGTTCTCCCTGAAAGTCGTTGGACTCCGTTGGACCCTACCCCAAATTGGCGAGAAGGAAGACTTCTTTCCAAGCGTTGGGCCGCTTGGTTCGCTGATTCTCAGTAGATTTACCTTCAAAATAATACACTGGTTGTTGGTTTGGAACATGAATGTTATTTGTCCATAATATATGTGATAATCCTTCACACTGACTATTTTTTTCAAGATGGTTGAAACCACCAACCAGATTATTATTAACCATCATTGACCATATAATAACCATATATTAACCATTATTAACAGTATATTACAATGGATGGACGCTGCAAATAATTTGACAGTGATAAAAAACTAACATGCCAAACACAGGTCATGATGAAAAACCTGGGTGAATTGCTATGGGGGGATGACCATCCCTTCAACGGGACTCAGAAGATCTCGTGAGGTTTTTGGACCAATATGGCAACCCCCAAAAAGAGGCTGAACCGTGTTTCAGGGATGGTGGTTCGATGTTTCCCCCCCCCTTCCCACATGTTTTTCAGGTGTCCAACTTTTCTATGGGGTTGCTACAACCATGTTGGGTAGGGGTTATGTGGAATACTAAATCGCCAGGTTAGAACCCCATAGTGATACCCATTAGAATCACCCCAAATACTTGTGGTTGGTTGCATATCCCCTGATATCCATATCAAATCCCCTAAATCCCTGTTGATGCTGAAGATCCCATAGTGAAAAACCCATTAAAAGAACCCCTGCACCTCAATGTATTGGTTATATTATTCCATAGTGGTTATATTATTCCATTAAATCATATAAAATGATAGTAGATTCCGGTTAAAATTCCATTAAATCACCAAAATCCATGAAATCGTATCAAAAACAATCCATGGAAATCACGATTAAACCATCATGAAATCCCGTTAAAATCCATTCGAAATCGCCCTATCTTCGATCCGCTAGGACCGGCGCCGTAGTTCCATCAGCGGGCGCCGCAACATCAACGACGCAGTGAAGACCAACACGGCCCGGACCAGGCTGCGATGGGCGCCCGCGGGGCTCATGCCCAGTGACAAAGAACCAAAGTTTACTATATATGTTATTATGGTTGGGCTATATGTTGTAATGGTTATAACAACTATTATCAACGTTATATTATGTTACTATATGTTGCAATTATGTTACAATTATGTTGCAATTATGTTACCATATATAATTGTAGGGGGTTATATATCATATTCCCACTTTTCCAAGGAAATTGTCAAGGTCTTTTTGTGTTGTTTTCTGGATATATGGATTTTGGTTCCACATGTCGGTAATAATGTGTAGACCATGAAGAAAACTCATGTGGAAATTTCATGACATGGCTATTTTGACAATGTTGAAGACTTATGCTCGGGAAAATTGAGGGTGTTGGTACCTTGCAAAATGACTTTATATGCACATGGACATGCGATCCGTATTGGTCGGATTGTTATCCGTCACCCGTGGTCAAAGATGTGTAGGGATATCAATTACAAATGATATACGCCTTGGTAATTTAACATAGCCATGGAACATCACCATAACATCTCTAACCTATCATCGAACTAAATATGCCATGGTTTCCAGTTCGCAAACTGCAAGAAATGACCGGAAGGTAACTTTCTTTCTTACATGTTATCCCTATATATCCATATTATATATATACCCATTATATACCCATTATCTATATCTATATCTATAGCTATATCTATCTATACATATATATATATATCTATATCTATGTATATATATATATCATATATATATAGATATAGATCATGGGTATATACATATATATATATAACTACTTTTCCATTGGCTAGTGGCTCAGCATGGACCATGGTCTACCAATTTCTTCGAATAGGAAAAGCATCGCCTGCGTCGCGGCCGAGAAGACAGCTTCTGGGGCGGATAAGGCCACTAGTCCAGAGAGATGTGGTCATAGCGAATGGATGCGAATGGTTCATACTGACCACAGGTTATGTAATGAACTAATCTTAATTTGTATGGATGGCATCACAGTTAGCGTCGTAAACGTACATATAAAAAGATCAAGAGAGATGGTTTTTCCACCAATGATGATATGCTTACTGTACTTGTTTTATTGTCTTGCTCACTATGCAACACAGTTGATGAATTCTGCGTAAAACTCAAGATTCGGAGACTTGGGATCTCTGCTGTCTACTGTAGAGGATAAGTAATTTCGGCTTTGTGAATTCATTGGCATGTGGGTTCAATCACCTACTCACACTTCCAGTAGTGGTCATGTTTGGTCATTGAACTTAAACCATCCATTTAAAAAAGGTCGATGATGTTGACCCAGTTCTATTTGTTTTGTTGCTATTTTTTCCAACTAATGATTGAAGGTTATCCAGGTAGACTGCGGTAGACTAATGTTAGTTGGATATACCCTCTGGTAATTTGACATAGCTATACATAGCTATATTATTGAACATGGCCATTTATAGTTGAATTTCCCATTAAAAATTGTGATTTTCCATAGTGATGTTAGTTTACCGGAGGGTATTTGGATTGCTTAAAACATCTTTTTCAGCCACCACCTCTGATCCGAGAAAAAAAAAATCTGAGACGGTAACTCCTGCGAACTCCTGCGGTGCGGTAGCTAATGTTCCTATCCCTAAGGATCCATGGTGCTGGAATATTTACCAACCAGTTGGGATTATTTGGAAAATTTCTTTAGGGGTCAATGTAGGTAAATATTCCAGCACCATGGATCCTCTGGGTATGGTTTTTGGGGATCTCAAATCCCACAGATGTTGCGAGTTGCTTTGGTATGTCAAAGGGATGGGTGTTTGAACCAATTTGCTCCTCTCATTGTTGTGCACATGCCTCAAACCAGAGAAGTATTGAAGGCCAGCGCCTTCATGAGACATCCAAGTTGAAGGAACCTACAGGCAAATATAGGCAAACGACTTGGGAATCGTGAATTCTTGATCTGTTTTCCGAACCTCTTTGTTCTTTTCTCTTTCCAGGGTACATGCTGTATCCCTGCTTAAAGCAATTCTTGTTTTCTCATCAGTTGTTCGTAAACTTGGTCCCCGCGGGTACTGTAGTTCTTTAACAATATATGGATACGGAGTAAATTATGTAGTCGTTGTGGTGATATATCCCCATGTGCCCGCAACTTGTGCACGTTTTCCAATGGGCTTGACTTGAGGGAACATCTTCAGGTAGCCACGGTTTTATCATCCAAGACTATGAGGTTTCTATAGTTGTTTCTTCAATCATCCTCAAACAAAGTCTGACAGAAGACCTCATATGTTGTTCCTAAAACTAAGTAAACTAAGTAAACTAAGTAAACTAAGTCTGAGAGAATTTCACACATTTTCTTTTTGTTGCCCCCCAAAAAAAAACGCATGCGAAGCGGAGGCGACAATTGAATTGGCCGCAGAAAAGACCACGAAGCGACATCGCATGAGTCTTTGCAAAGCCGCAGAGACGTTGGACCTGGCAGGTTCCGACCTTTCGGTGGTCGCGGTCGCTGGGGATTGAGCTGTTGAACATGTTGAACTGTTGGAGTAATGGCGTGGTAACAATTATAACATTTATTATAACTGTTGGAGTAATGTGTTGGAGTAAATATAACTGATTGAACTGTAAATGATAATCATAATTAATTATAATTATTATAGGTGTTGGTTATGGCGTGGTTTTTTTTACCACATACATAAAACTGTGGATTTGACCATTGACAATAGGAAGGAACAAACATTAGATTCACCATCAACAATGGGAATCATAATGGGAATACAATTGGCATCATCAAATATGTGTAATACATATATTATAATATATATATATACATAGTATGGATACATATAAAAGGGGTTAGAATGAGATTCACTATCAACAATACAGGGAAAATTAGGAAGCAAATGGGAATCGATGGTGCCTTTTTTTTTAAGTTTGCAACATTGGTTGAACTAAGTAGTTTAGCTGTTGGGTCTATGGTAGATTCTAATCGAACTGGTGAGATGAATTGACTGCCCTCAGTGGGGAGGGCGCCACACCACTGGATATGGGTCAAAATGCAAGGCCAATGGGCTGATCATGTTTAGTCTTAGTCTTAATCATCCAAGATCATCCAAGTATGTTAGTGACAATTTTGATCCATATTCTTTTCTAAGTTTCGTTTGGAAGGCTAGTTTATGGTAGTTATGGCGAGGTAAAAGAGGGTGAATTGGAATTTGCACCGACAAAAGCGTTTTATTTTGGAGGCAACAGAAGCGCATATTTTGGGGGCGACAGAAACTTTCGGAGAGTGGTGAACACAAATGACAGGCATAGCCATGGATTCTTGGATCATCGAGAGTGGCTGTCGTGAGGCTTGGGCGACGACGCTCCAGAAGAGGTCCAAAAGAAGTTGCTGGGCCCAGAGGGAATGTCGTGCCACGAAACTCAGTGGGTACACCATCCCCACGAAGCATCCATTTTGGGAAAGATTGCAAAATTTATCAAAATTTACAAAATAACCCGAAGTGTTGTGGCATGTTGTGGCTTATTTTTACACAACAATACAAAAATCCATGGGTTTATGATGCTGGTGGATCCCGCATTGATGATATTGTGGGCTGACACCTGATCTGATGATCTTACTAGTTATATAGTCTATAGTTATCTTACTTTTCATGAGGATACCACCAATCAATGAGAGAATTTCTGGGTCCAATCCCAATTCGGTTCCAGTCTGTTCAGCTGATGCTTGTTGGGCAAACACCTGGCCCATGAAGGAAAAAACGTTGTTACACCACTATTTCACTGATGGTGACCTACTTTTAAGGGCCTTTTCCTGGGGATATCCATTGAAGCACACATTTATGAAGAAACATAGTTGTGCTGGGTTTTGGTCTAACACTTTTCACCGGATTTTCTGCCGGCCACTCCCTTGTTAACATATATACTGATCTTGAATTGATGGCTTCCATTATGCCAACACTGACTGATGTCAATTTCATGGCTATTTTTCTTGGTGAAAATCCACCATTTGGTGGGTTGAAGCAGCAGTTTGGGATGGGTCACCCTGCGATGGCAAAGGATCAATATGATCTCCAAGTGTTTGATGGTCGCCCGTGGCCGACATCGCATGAACGTTGCCGCCGTCCGGGAACCCAGGATGACGGGTGGGTGCAAATGTATATACATGTGTTTTTTTCCTACTGATCAATGGAAGATGAACTTATATGTATATATATATATGTATACCTGTGATTATTATGTGTATATATATTTATATATATATATGTATATATACATAGATACACGCTCCAGAAAGATCTCCGTAGCACTCTCTAGTTACACACAATTGTTCATATTTGGTTTGATGTCTTAGGCCTACATCATCCCTTGAAGTCTTCCACAGGCTGTCAAAGAGACCATTTGCGGCGAGTCCGACGAGGTGTTTCTTCTCCGTCTGTGGCTGAAAGTTGGAGTTGAGCTTCCTATGGTCATTTGAAGAAAGAGACAATATGGGGAAATGATACACCGGATTCACATAGGGCTATATAATCGTTATAATATATGTGAGGCAAATCTGTTTTCTTTTCGTTTCGTCCAGTCTGATTCAAGGTAGACTTTTCTTGAGTAGGCTAGTGGATTACTTTGTTTGACAATGACCAGCCAAAAGATGAGGTTTTTTTCAGGCATGATGTGACACATCTGGACGCTCGAAAATGCGTGAGTTCAGGACTAAGATGGTGACGCTGGAGCCAGTCAACATACCCTCTGGTAATTTAACATAGCTATTGAAAATGGCCATTTATAGTAGATTTTCCCGTTGAACATGGTGATTTTCCATAGCTATGTTAAATTACCAGAGGGTAACAAATCCCAAAACGCGGCTATTAGTGGTTCCCTGTGGATTTTAAGACCGACACATTGATATTCCTCAGGGATTTGTCTGAAATAGAAAACACTGTCCCCATTGACTGTTGTGCATGAAAATCATGAAAGCGCTTTTCAGAGGGATCTCTTCGTATCATTTCGTATCATTTAAATTACTGTACAAAAGGAACATGCATTCCTCCAAAATGGAAATAAGACCAGCAAGACTGGCCACGTGTCATCAGTTGCATCAACGCAGTCCTCACAGTACTCAGAAACATTTATCATTGTTTTTTTTTTTCTGTGTGCTGTGTGCGTGTGTGTTTGCTGCTTTACACATTTTAGCGCATTTATTGTTGGTGTATAACCATGGTTTACTATGGTTTACTCATTTTCACCCTGCACAGCAAGCTCGGCCTCGCAGGAGGAGACCAAGACCGCGAAGTCTGAGGGCAAGAGCAGCGAGGCCAAGAGCAGCAAGGCGCGGGCCACGGTGTCACGGTGTGGCAAGACATGGTTGGTTGATGAGTTTTTGGGGGATTATACTATGGTTATTTAACATAGCCATGGTATAGATAGCCCATTTATAAATGGTTTACCTATTAAAAATGGTGATTTTCCATGGCTATGTTAAATAACCAGATGGTATACTATGGAAATCTATAGAAATATATGGAAATATCAATCGAAATACCTATGGAAATAATTACCATGAAAGACCTATTTTGAAATCTCTGGAATATCAGAATCGATCAAGTAAAATCCTACCAACATTTTTCAGCTTCTCCAACTCACTGATGAATGAGAGCCTCTTTTGGGGGGGTTCTATGGCTGAACGCCATGCCCAGATCCTCAGGTAAATGGATTGGACTATATGATTTATATAGTATAGATTGGTAAGCATGTGTTGTATCATACATATATATATATATATTATGATATATGATAATTATCTATAATATAATAACAGAATAATGATAATAATATTAACAATAATAAAAATAGTAATAACACTAATTGTTATTATATACATATATTGTATGATGTGTGGCTATAGTTATATGTGTATAAAAAACTTTTATAAACATTACATAAATCGTCTTATTTAAATCTGATCTCTATGCACATCCCTCATCCCTCTTTCAAAAGCCATCTCCTGCACCTCACCAGGACGGCCCGAGCGATTCGAAAGAAGCGTCGGCGCCGAAAGCTACCCCAAAGCCCAAGTTCATGAGCAAACTCAGGGCTTGCGCCAAGGAATTCCAGTTACTTGGCGAGGAGATTCCTGGGTTGTGTTGGTACGGGTGATGGTCACCCAGTGATGGCTGTGAGTTTTTCAACCGGCCCAACACTTCAGTGTAGTGAACCCATAGCAGCTAAGAAACATGGGACCATGTCTAGGGTAATGCTGGGATGTATAGTTATGCTATCAATATAGTTGGGTTTGTTACTGTTTGAAAATGGATGGGATGTGGTAAACCCAATAACCCGGCCATTTGGGGATGGTTTATACAACCCAGTTATATCAATTTCTGGTGATTTTGGGGCTGGTTGCCCCAATGAATGACCACAAAACAATGCGCAAATGAGAGAACCTGCAGGTTTTGGAGGAAACATCATCAACATCCTAGAAACACTCTTCTACCTTTTTGAGGACCCTATATATAAATATATATATATATAATGGAATCTAACATAATATGATATGATATGATGTGATTATGTATATGTATATGTATATGTATATGTATATGTATATGTATGTGTGTGTATATATATATATATTTGTTGATAATATATACAGCATATCATATCATAAGGACGCATATCAACCAGATGCCAACTTAGCGATTTTTGCATCCTTGGTCTCGGCCACATTTCGTGGGAGACCACCGAACAATGGTGTTCCCAGCTATAGTTGGCAAAATGATCTACCCCCTGGTAAACTAACATAGTTATGGAAAATCACCATATTCAATGGGTAAATCCACTATTTCTATGGCTATGTTAGTTATTACCAGAGGGTAAAAATCGTGGAACATTGTAACATGACCAACTTATTTAGCTGTTTGGATGTTTGATTTTGTTTTAAACTATTCTGTAATCCTATAGATCCTTGGGTAATTTCACATAGCTATTGAACATGGCCCATTTATAGTGAACTATCCCATTAGACATTGTGAATATCCATAGTTATGTTAGTTTACCAGAGGGTAGATGAATTACCAGACATTGATTTACCTGTTCAAGGGGATGAACAATTCCACTATTGAGCTCAAAAAAGAAAGACTCGGTAGTTTGGAAGAACAAGTGCGGTTTTCTGAGGCCCAATTTTGAATCCCCTAAAGTCCTGGTTCATATCAATCCCCACGGTTGTATATTTATATATATATATATGGGTAAATTATAACGACCTCACTGCGACCGAGCCCTGGAATAATGGTTAGTAAGGGAAATCATCCCCAAATGGCCTTAATTCAGGGAAAGGGTATCGGCACAAGCTTTCCCGTAGCTACCCTGTTAGGCTGCGCCTGCGAATTGTGCCATGTCATACAACTATGTTCCACTCCCTGTCCCATTGATCAACCTCATCAAGACCTATGACATTTCAGCAGCCCCATGGATGAAATCCCAAAGGGTCAATTTGGTGACCTCTCATTTTCAGCAGTTTGACGACAATTTCAAGGTACGCATGTCGTCTCCAAGTGTTTTGGATGCCCAGTTTGTATCATTTCACAAGGAAGCTTCACCAGAATATGCTGTCTATGAAGATTTTATCCATCTGCATATGGATAAGGACAGACGACCCACAGTTTTCTTTGATGAAATGTACATTCATCAGGCCTTGGTGACAGACATTGATCCAGTGACCGTGACCTTGGATCATCAATCGCTCCTTCTGCCGTGAGACACAGAAGATAGGACTAGCCAAAGCACCACCCCTTGGTGTGTTGAACAGTTTGCTGGAGGCTTTGGAGGATGGGCCTTTGGTTTAGCTTTCTTGCACCGAGCGGGATTTCCGAAGTATCATGTCCTCAGTGTGGAAGCCGAATTGTCGTATGCCACCCAATACGCCTTGTCACATGCAAGTAACATGGTAGGAGACCCAGCAGGTATGCCTGAACAGTTTTTGCTCCACATGCAAGAAGATGTCATGGTTTGCGGGAACATCCAAGAAATGCATCGGCAAAAGCTTCTTCAACATGTTTATGCTTCATTGTGGTGTATTTCTGCTCCATGCAAGTCCTGGAGTTTTGCTGGAAGCCAAGAAGGCTTCTCCAACCAAGATGGATTGACGTTGGCCCATGCCATTGCGCACTGTAGGATTCACCAGCCGAAATATGCCATGATTGAACAGGTAGCAGGGTTTGAAAGCCACATGCACTTCCCAATTGCCATGCGTTTGATGCAATGGGCGGGATATGAACCGGTTTTGCAAGGAGTTTTTGACCTGGGAAATCTCACACCTTGCAGACACACTAGGTGGTTAGGAGTTTTTGCACATCATGCATGCACACAGCCTCATATGCAGCCGCAGAAATGGCCCACCAATTCCACCACAACACGGCAGTATGACATGATTCTCAACCTGTCCCATCAGCAGTGCCGTGAATTCGAACCAACCGTCCAGCAGGCAGCCTTCTACTTTGATGCCAATTTCATGCCTGGAGCCACCAAAGTTTGGACCTATAAGGATATCTTGAAATATAGAATTCCTTCGTTGGAGGGTAAGCTCCCCACATTTCTTCATCTTTACGGCCAACAACATTCATTGCGACCACATCGATTGACGACCATGGGCCTTTTTGAACATTTTGTGCGTCAAGGAATTGCCTTCCGCTTTTTTGCTCCAATTGAAATCATGTTTGGTCATTGCCAAGTTGATGACATGATCCTGTTGAAACCAAACACAATTGGATGGGAAACGATTGGAAATGCCATAGCAGTTCCGCATGCAGTGTTTGCCCTTGCACATGCATTGTTATCATTGCATCCGAACCTAGTTTCCGATGATGCCACAAGTCTTGTCCTGCGTTTGATTGCGTACCGCTTGAAGGCCAGCACAAGCATGATTTCTAGCGATTCTTTTGCATGGTATGTAAGCGCTTCATTATCTACTCAGGAGTTGCAACGTCGATTGCATTTTTTTCTCCAGGAACTCAATTGGCCCCACCAAGGAAAGAACACTTGGCCATCTGGAGCATTTTTCTCTCACCAGGAAGGTTTGATGCCGATGCAATTTTACAGCCCAGAGCTCACCCAAGAGCTTGAGATTGCTGCCAGAAACCGCATCCCAAACACGCAAGTGGATTCACCAGATCAAACGGGAGAATTTTTGCAGGTTGCCCCAATTTTGATTCCAGGCGAATATGGGAAATTGCGTATCCACAAAGATGTCACCTTGCTCACTTTGCTGCGATTGTGGAACTACCAGATTGGTCCTGATTTCCCGATTTCCCATCAAGACTTGGAGTGTTCAATTATGCAATTGTTCTCCGAATCACATGTCATGCTCATGCCTCTTGCTCCAGAGATCCAGGAGATGCTGACACAAACAGCCCTTGCACGACCTGATGCAAACACAATCATCTTGCACCGATCCGGCACTGATTTGAGCATGTATGAAGTTGCTCATGGAAAGACATGGCGCATGGTGAAGCAGACCTTTCCAGACCTTCAATCAGCCCAATATGAATTGTTTGGAGATTTGCAGGAATCCACTCTTTTCACGAGGGACACAGAGATCCATGATCAGGTTGCACCCTTTCAGGTGCCAGCACTTGCACAGACAGTTCTGAGGCAATTGCACGATGTAACCTTTGAAGTGGTTTGTCCTCCGGAAACTGATATCCTGATTCTCCATTGCGAAGGATCCCAGCAAGCCCGTGAAGCATTCCTTCAGTTTTGGGGCACGGAAGACCACCGCCGATGGATGTTGCAAGTAGGAAGGCAAATGAATTACCAGTCCATTGATGATCGTACCTGGAGGGTGTTTTTTCGACCGGCACTTCCGGAAGCAGCCATGCCAATTGCGATTTTTCGTGATGCACTGTTTTGGAATGCTGTTCGCACTCTTTTCATGTCCATGCACACTGCAGAGGGTCTTCCAGTCAAGATCAAACTGTTTGGTCGTACGCTCTGTCAGGTGTCCCTGAGCTTTGATTTAGCTTGTGAGACCTTTTTGCTGGCCCTTCAGCACATCCGACAGTTGCATCCCAGAAGAGGCAATCCGAGCCTTCATGCATCCGGAAAACGCTGTGGGGACATTTGCACCATCCGAGACATCCACAGCCGACTCACTGGCACATCAACAGTCCCTGTTTTGCATATCGGCATGCCAATTTCGGGGGGGGACCGACCACCAAGCATCCCACTTCCAAGATGGACTTTCACAAATTGGTGCAATCTGAAGTTGCCAACCGATTTCTTCAGTATGGTTTGGATTTGCCTCAAGTAACAGATTCCACTTCCAAGTTGATTGAAAAGGTAGGCCTTGCCAGACTTCATCATATGATCCATGAAGAATCACAGCCTGAAAAGGAACAAAGCTTTCGACGATTGTGCGAGTCGGCAAGCATTGCCCTGCCGAAGCATGGCCCTAGGATGCATCTGGTTTCAGGTAAGTACCAGAAGCTTCGATCACAGCGAACCCATGCAGCGACAGCCAAGATCGACCCAGCAAAGTATCAGCTGACTGAAGGTTTTTTCGTCAATGCTGACAAAACTCCTACGCCAATTTTGAGTCAATTTTCATGGCAGAGCACAGGGGTTGTTCTTTTGACAGCCGAACAGGCACTTCCAATCATGACCATTGCTACCGCAACTGTTCCAGATGAACTTGCCATTTATGTGCCAGGTGATTTTGCAGTCCCCGCCAAATTTCATCATTTCCACACCAATGCACCAGCAGTTGATGATCTTGGGCGCCAAGTCCTGCTTACAGGCCAACTCATCCAGTTTGGATCAAGACATATTCAGACCAATGTCCTTCCTGACCAAATCACTACCAAGGAAGTCCAAGTCCTAGCAGTGACTTTGTGGAAAGAGGATTTTGACCCCCCTACATGGGAGCGTATCAAGTCGGCCCCAGTGAAAACGACCAGAGATTTGCTAATGTTGGAGGGCTATGGGGAATTGATGTCAAAGCCATGGGGCCGAGCCTATAGGGCTAAGGGCAAACCAGTGCCTCCGGAACACGCTGAGTCGATCCAGTTCCATGCAGGGTTCCAACGTTGTCCCCGCCTGAATGCATTGCTTCGGATTT